TTTCCAGCCTTGAGCCCGCAGAGTGAAGATGTAGTGAGGCCTCTGAAAAGGTCTTGAGAAATGAATCAAAACCTCTGAGAGAAACGAAAGCTAACCACCAATGAGGGCCAGGAAATGTCCAAGATGCTCACAGTTCCTTTCATGGCAAACAGCATCCGAAATGCTGTACGGAGTTCAATGAAATAGTTGGATTGAAATCATAAAGGATAATACAGGAAGAGAGGGATTGCAAAGTGTGACAAAGGGCAAGAAGATCTAGTTTCAGTTTAGATCTGTTTTCAGTTAATTCTTTGAAATTGAGGCCGTTTCTCATGTAAAAGTGGCTCAAATGGATCTTCTGCTAAAGGGCAGCAGAGTTGCATTCCGTCCCAGCTCAGCTTCATTTGTCTTAATGGAACAGAAAAGCCCTCACTTACTGAGAGCTCCAATTTCAGTGGAGCTCCAAAGTGTGGTTTTTCAGTGTTTGAATCCCATGTAGACAATTATTGCTTTTAGCCACCTTAGGAAGAGCCTAGTGAAACTGCAGGGCAAGGATATTTCAGCTAACAGGCAGGGGACTGATTTTTCCCTCCCATCCCTTTAGCTTACTTTTAAATGTAGGTATCAAACTAGAGCTCAGAAAATTAAATAGCCATGCCAAGATGGCATGACCTATACGAAATGGACTGTTATTAAATGCTGAAACACCTTTGGCAGAGATTCACTGATAATGAGTTTTACTCCCCTCCATCCCTTTCCTCTCCAGAGAGACAGGATTGCTCAACTGAGGGGACTGGTAGTAAGACAGAGAACCCGAGTTCTTAAACTTTATCAAAAAGAAAAGGAGTACTTGTGGCACCTTAGAGACTAACCAATTTATTTGAGCATAAGCTTTTGTGAGCTACAGCTCACTTCATCGGATGCATACTGTGGAAAGTATGCATACGATGAAGTGAGCTGTAGCTCACGAAAGCTTATGCTCAAATAAATTGGTGAGTCTCTAAGGTGAGTCTCTAAGGCCACAAGTCCTCCTTTTCTTTTTGCGAATACAGACTAACACGGCTGTTACTCTGAAACCTAAACTTTATCAGAGGCTGGATCAGACCTTAATAGACAGATCATCTCATGGACACTTCCTCTGTCATTCACTGTTGAGTGGGCCACTCCTCCTCCCAGAAATTGCTTCTGTGGGAAAGTTCGTATTCATGTACTTTTAATGTTCTTTAATGCAATAAGTGTTTTATCCCTTTAAAAAATGTTAATCACACTGCTCACTTTGGTTCTGCATTTCATCCTCCTTCTCATCAGTTCCGTCCCCCTCTCCCTCTATTTGTGCTTCTCTGCTGCCTGGCTGTTGCCAGGTTTCACATGCTTAACTGCCTCTTCCTCCCACCTTCTCCCATTCTTTTCTTCCCCTAGGCATATTCCCTGTCCTTGGATGCCTCATTGCCTTCTCCTCCCCTCCACTGGACATTCCTTTCCTGTTTTTGCCCGGCAGCTGCAGTCTCACTGCTGGCTGTAGCCTTTCAGGGCAAATCCTGTTTCCTCATCCACTTGCCCCCACTAGGTTGGCTCCTCCACCTTGTTCCAGATGCTCCGGCTCTTCTTTGCAATCTGAAGCAAATGGAAACAAAAAGGAGAGCCAGCACCACATGCCCAGCCAGTTCTCAGTGGACCATCAGCACTAGGTCTTGGGAGTCAGGCCACAGCGTGGGAACCACTGATAACCATGGATGGATCCATTCAGCTCTGAACTGCTAGACATGCTCTGGCCCAGGTCAGCAGTGATGGAAAATTGCTACCATCTGTTCTGAAAAGGAAAAAAACTACTAGAAATACTGAGATATTATAAAATCTCCTTTACTTTGGGGAAATGGATCGTAGGATTTTTTTGGTCCTTTGTTTATTATTGTGCATTTACACATTTGTCTTTAGAGGGTGTGGATTCAGAATAGTACATTTTTAGAGCCTGACCCAATGCTTATTGAAGTCAATGGAAAGACTTCAATGGTTGAAGCCAGAGACAGCATCTTTCATACTAAAAGCACTTCACAAGCTAACGGGATTGAGAGCACTAAGCCATTTCACAAAGGCAGACTCCTGAAACAGACTCCTGACAACTTTCCATGACTATGGACTTGATGAGTCCAGTTAAGGGCTGATATAAGGAAGTTGGTGATTGGTTGTTCTCCATGTCCACTGAAGGTAGGACAAGCAGTAATGGGCTTAATCTACAGTAAAAAAGATTTAGTTTAGATATTGGGGGGGGAAATTTTAACTATAAGGATAGTTAAACTTTGGAACTGGCTTTCGAGGGAGGCTATGGAGGTTTTTAAGAACAGGTTGGACAAACACCTATCAGAGAGGTCTAGGTGTACTTGGTCCTGCCTCAGAGCTGAGGGATGGACTAGCTAGATGACCTCTTGAGGACCTTCCAGCTCTACATTTCTATGATTTTATAACTTTCTGTTCATTACCAATCTCTGAGCAATCCAGCCCCCATGTCTCCAGCATTCAAAACTGGGATTTCAGTACCCCTCCATTCAAATCCTGCCTCTGTCCCTGGCCTTGGACAAGTCGCTTAGCCACTACATCTGTAAATTGAAGATAGTGGTTTACTTGCATTCTACCCTTACAATGGTGATGTGACGCTTCATTAGCATTGGCATGTTCATACAGTGCTTTGAAAATATAGTGATATAAGCTGCTAAATTTATTAATCATGATGTGGTCACCTAGAACTTCCGGTTGTCACTGTGCTATACACCATGGCTACTCAGAACTTCTGACAAGAAGCAAGTATAAAAATTTTGATCATTATTCTCAAAGCACAGATCCAACTTACAGGAGCTAAAGGAGAATCTTCTTTATTTGCTATCAGCATGGGGCCTATGACACATAGTAGAGCAGTTCTGAGTCCATCCAGTAGAGGGCAGTGGTACACATATAAACTAGCCAGTTTACTATAATAATGAAGATTCCACAGAGAGCTCTGTTGATGTCTTCCTAGCTGATCATGTAAAAAATCTCCTTAGACCCTTATTAACCTGAAAATACTGGTAGCAAAGATTACCAGCTTACACTCAACCTGAAATTCAGGGATGCCAAAAGGGACTAATAAATGTCTATATAGTTTACAGAGCTGCATTAAGTACTCAAGAGTATTCCTAAGCTCAGAGAACCGTAGCAAACTCAGCACACTAAAATCAGCACTGAGCTGCACTTAATTTCTCTGAAATTGTGCTTAATATTGTCGCCTTGAAGCTCCATAGACACTCATGTGAGAAATTGACTAGACTACTGTACAAGCAGTTTCCTTGGTGTAATTGCTGACAACCTGGGAAAATTGCACCCAAAAACTGAAAAAATAAAATTAAAACATTTAAGTGTTTTTAAATCTTTTCTAGTTCAAATGTGTTTCTTATTTTTTAACACTGTATTGTTTTTGTCTTTCACATACCACTTTACCATAAGGATGTAAAAAAAAAAGGGGGGGGGGAGGGAAGTGCACAGTTAGTGTGGTGGCAACTACCCCACCATGCCATAACATTAATTCTCTGTCTCTGTCGTCTGATATGCCAGACTGTGGCTGACATTCTTGGAATGTGGCATTTGATACTGCGCGGTTACTAAGACAAATGTGCCTGAGTCTCATCAAACTTGCTTTCAGAGAGGAAGCGTGGTCTAGTGGTTAAGGCATAGGAGGACTTTGTCTGTAAACTTGAGCAGGTCACTTCACTTCTCTGCATCTCAGTTTCCCCATCTGTAAAATGGGGATAATGATACTTGTTTACCTCACAGGGATTCTGAGAGGTTCAATTCATTAATGTTTGCCAAGCACTTTAAGATTATCCAGTGAAAGGCATTATGGACACACATGGTATTATTGTTGTTACTGTTATTATTTATTTATTGATGGTTTTCTTCTTCTGATCTGAATGCCACTTCCTATCATCTCATTTTGCTTAGCGCAAACGAGCTCATTACTCTACATAGAAGATAAAGTCTTTTCCATTAGCTCAGGTGCGGTCTATCTGTCACGTGTCTGCATACAAACCTACTCAAGGACAATGGGGAAAGACCTGGGAGGGTAATACACATTGTGCTATTGTTCCAAGCAAGGGAATGCATTCTAACTATGTGAGTGTAAGGATGTTGCTTATACAGCCATAAAAATATCCTGCAGGTATATGATGACAGGAGGAGCATGGTGGACAAGGTGGCTCAGAATTTTTCTGCCCCATTTGCACTCTCTGGGCCTGGCTTCTGCTGGAGCTGTTGGTGCTGTTCACTTGAGGCTCATACTCTCTCATGTAGGACACCTGAAAATGAAGATCCCCAGAGTCAGTGGCTAATTCTGAACAATGTGGCCTGGAGTCATGGATTAGTGCTTTCACTGAGGTGTGAGGGGGAGGACAAAAGTGGTGACTGCCGCACCCTGCATGGAACTTGGAGGGAGGAGTTTGGAAGAGGCCCCAGGAAGTCAGTCTGTGTGCACATGGCTCGAATGCTAGCAGCAATTGCCGCATCTCTGAAAATAATTCTCTTACTAAAGAGCCAGTTTAGTTTTACAACTCTGCAGTTTCCTTGTGTTACTGTCCAGCCAGCAGTACCTGAGCCAGTGGAGACATAGGCTATGGCTATACTAACGAGCTTACAGCGGCGCAGCTGCATCAGCGCTGCTAGTGCGTCGACTTAATTACTCCAGCCCCCACGAATGGCGATAGCTATGCCAGGGAGAGAAGCTATCCACACCGGCACTTAGGTTGGTATAACTTACGTCGCTCGGGGGGTGGCTCATTCACATCCCTGAACAACATAACCTATACGGACGTTAGCTGTAGTGTATACGTAGCCTAAGTCATCCCTGAGGTAACTGTTGATGTCAATAGAGTTACTCAAGGGATGACGTTGGTCCATGACGCCTCGGGTAAATGAATGATTACGCTGTATCTTTAACAAGAGAATTCAGAACCTGGAGGCTCATATGACTCACCAGTGGCCATCTTGGAGCTCTTCCAGGAACACCAAACAGAAAAGATGTAACTGGATCTGCTTCTGTGTACAGACTGCAGGTACCGCTATTTCTGACTGTATAATATGTGTTGTTTGCAGTTCTGCTAACCCTCTTTTGTCCTATGACTGCAGAGGTGTTAACTACCCTCTTCATTTTAAGTGATTTCTTATAACATGTTTAACCCCTTATGCTTAGCAGTGTGTTTCACCTTGTATTTAGCTGTTATGCTCTGGTTACTCTCTCCAGATCTGTAGAAGATCTCCTCTGTGAAGCTCTAAAGCTTGTCTCTTCCACCAGCAGAAGTTGGTCCGATACAAATATTAACTCAGAACTGCATGTACATATCTTCATGGTTTCAAAAACACTAGTGGTGGAGATAACAATGGGAAATGCTGCACCTCATTAAAATAATTAATTAGTCATACAGTATGGGCTAAATTTTCAAATGATCCTAGCACATTAATGACCCACCCGTGGCCTGCGTGCCTAAATGGGAGCTGAATATTTCCAAAAGTTTGGTCGCATTTGTGGGTTGTGAACACTTGAATACCTCAGGCTAAACTAAACTATCCAAAACCTAGCCCTAACTCCAACCCATACAGAAAGAGTCTTCTTTTTAAAATTTTATGCTGCAGCTCTTCTTGGTATTTCTTGTTCTCCCCAAGAGTTGTCTTTCCCTGGCACGTGACCACACTATGATGTTGTCATAGTTACACAGTAGTCAATGTTACAGTTAAGGTTACAAACCTGTTTCAGTGATGACCCTGTTTTCACCTACCTTATAACTTTCTGAAAAATTCACTTTCTGAAAGAGGTTACAGCGCTAAGAGGATCTGAATATTTCAGAGATGAGTTAATAATGGTACAGAAGGCCTCTGTATCCTTATTTCCACTGTAATATAAAATGGCGAATTAAAGGATATTACTTAAGGCTGGGAGGGCTGGTTTTTGAAAAATAGATCTCCAGATTTATGCTGTTCACTAACTATAACGTCTCCAATATGTTGCTGATATAAAGGATTTTTGAATTAATCGTAGCTGGCCAACAACTTTCAATTCATTGTTTGAGATGTGACGCTCTTATTTTTCATTAATAACAGCAAATGCGTTTCATTTTTTCCGGTATTCTAGAGACACCATAATGGTGACTTTTTTGGTTTTCTGGGCTGAGCAGTGGAGCTAAGAGGGGTAACTGGAATGCATTGTGTGTTGACAATCTGAGGGTGTGCAAACAATTAGCAATCTGGAACTACTTGGTAGGTAAAGCAGTCACTTGCTGACTTCTTCATCACTGAAGTGAAACTTGTCAGTTGGGCCAATTGTTCCCTTCTGTGCGGCCAAACGTGCACTTTGTCAGGCCCAGAGAATTGGTTCTGTGTATTAATCCACTCTCTGCACCTTACACCATGCAGCACAGGTCTGTTGTTTTAGATCCTGTGCCCCTCGTGTGCCTAGAGTTCGCTCATGACTTGCTATGGCAATGTATTGACATCAGAAATAGAAAATCATGAAACAGGGGTGGCTGAAACCTTTATGCATTAATGAACTGAAGGGTGGGTTGAATAGTGGGGTTGGAGTATATAGCTTTTCCTTAGAAACCCAGGAAGGATGATGTTGTGGTTAAGGCACTGGGCCCTGACTCTGAAAACCTTGGTTCCATTCCTGGGTCAGCTAAAAATATGTGACTTTAATCTCTCCATAACTCAGTTCATAATACTTCCCTGCCTCTCATAAGACACTTGGTTATTAAGGTGTCTATGCTGTATCAGTATCTATGTAGAAAGCTGAGTGTGGTCAGCTTAGGCCTTCCTCCTTTTAAGTGATATTAATTGAGTACCATGTCACTTGCTGTGGGGGGATGAATCACTTGATTATCTGTTCATTCCCTTGGAGGCATCTGGGACTGGCCACTGTCAGGAGACAGGATACTGGGCTAGCTGGACCTTTGGTATGACCCAATATGACTGTTCTTATGTACTGTGTTTGGGGCTTCTGGATAACACTGATAACTGAAGCCACAGATTCTCTGCATAGATCTCATGGCACTTTTTCATGACCGTAAAGGTTTAGCTTAGCCAAAATAAACTGTCCATCGCTGTGTGCACATCATCTACCACACTCTGCTCCAAAGGAGGCTGACTCTGCATGGCATTGGATGTATCTCTAGTTTGTAGGTGCAACATAAATGTAGCAATTTACTAGGCTTTTATGTTCTTACACCTACTATTTGTTGGGTTTGCCTCACATTTTAAAGGCCAGTGTCACACAGTCAGGTCTTGAAGAGTTGAGAGCTATGAGACACACATTCTCTCTTCCTCCAGGAATGCTTTATACATTCCAGGTTTCCAAGCTAACCCGGTCACAAAAACAAACGATACCCTAGCTCTCTCTTAAGCAGAGGTGTCAAACACTGAGCCCACTTGGTATATTCATATGGCCTACACGGTATATTTAGATTCTGCAGAATCTCAGCTTTCTTTTTTAAAAGTGGTAAGTTTCTAGCTTTCATGGTTGGAGAAGAAGAAGTAATAATAATAATAATCTTCCAACTGTGAGCCATGTGTATCTGCTGAGAATTATCCCTAAGCCTGAAGGCAGCCTGAAACAATGGCTCTGAAAGCACAACCACACAACCTTCAGTGTAATTTGGGTTGTTTTTAACTTTCAAACTTAATGCTGCTGCCTCACGTACCAGCCTTAACTGTTTCGTCCCTGGACCCTGATCATTTTATCACAGGGAATCTGGGAGTTGCTGCAGGAAGTGAAGAATACCTTTCCCAGCTCCAGTTGCAACTCTATGGTTGTCAGTAAGGCCTTCTGGCTTGTAAAGCAATCCCAGCTAGGACTGGGGCTGGGAACTCGAGCTCGCACAAATAGCTCAGCATTTACAGACCAAGCACAGTCAGAGCGTTAGCACCTTCCTACTAGCTAACAATAATACAGACTGCACCTTAGGTTTTATGGTTTCTTTTACTTAATAAGAAGCAGTAGTTTTCACAAAATGAATCACAAAAAAAAATCTGCTCTTGGGACCCAATATTTACACGCCCTGTCTACTGCGATGCTGTTAACAAAGCTCTCGGTGTAGGTCACTTCCAGAGGCAGCATGCTGGGCTAGATGAACCATTGCCTTGTGTGGTGAATCTTCTATTTCACTGTGCTTGAGATTGCACTGGTTTTGCTGTGGCTTGGCCAGAATTGACTGTAACTGGGGTGCTCCAGTCACTCCAAAAGCCTTTCCCATCCGAGTTCTTGCAGCGGACCGCCAGGATGTACACGGTGTCTGGCTTCACATCATAAACATAGTAGCTGGTCTGCTCACCCACATCAGGCTCTTGCTAACATGGAGAAAGAGAAAAAGCTGTTTAAATTACTTTCATTTCACTTCCCAAGAACAACAGTAATTCCTTTCCCCCTTTATTCTTCAATTAGGAGAAATAACTGAGAGGAAGAAAGATGACAATACTTAACACTCAGCATCTTTAAAGCATTTTTACATACATTAAGTTATGCACGCAACAAGGAAACTGAGGCACAGCAAAGTGACTGTCTCAAGGCCATAAAATAAATCAGTGTCAGCACCAGGAGAAGAATGCAGGAGGTCTTGGGACCCTGGACCAATAAACCACACACTGGAAGGACTCACCTGTTTAAATAAATATGTTTCCTTTTTAAACAATTTTTTATTTATTCTCAAAAACCATTGTTTAGAATATTCCATGGTATATGGAATCACAGTCTGTCTTAAAGAGGAGGCACTCATTAAAGAAAACAACTGCGATCTATAGACAGAAGGAAACAGACTTCCATGCAGCCTGAGTTTCAGCTTTGTCTCCTTTGTTTACCAGGGACCTCAACCTATCTAGAAATGTATAGCACACAGAGACATCTAGTGGCTAAATGACATACTGCAAGTAAAATATCGATATAGTTTATAGAGCAAGCACTTGGAAATCTACACTTACAAATAAATTGGTTAGTCTCTAAGGTGCCACAAGTCCTCCTTTTCTTTTTGCGAATACAGACTAACACGGCTGTTCCTCTGAAACCTACACTTACTCTGTGGGGTCTCAGAACTGTTCTTGAAACCATTTTTATTATAGTGTGGCTGTCACATTGGTTGTGTCCACAGCTAATGCATTTGCAGGCAAAACTGTCGAAGACCAGTTAGGACAAAACCCAGGTCAGCATGTCTGAATCTGTCCAACACTGCATAAGTCAGTGGAGCTCCACCCACTTACAGGCTCCAAGACTCACGCAGTTTCTAGCAGGGCTGCTCAAAACTACACTGGCTTGTCATAACTCAAGAGGGGCTGTTATGCCAGCGGAGGGTGCTAGAACACAGCATGCTCCAGCCATACCGGAAGCATGCTCGGGGACACCTCCATACATTGGGCAGGGTGGGGGGCTAGGAAGACACGGCCCAGAGCTGGTTATGCTGGCTCTGTGCCAGCCAAGGACTCCCCTATGCTGGAAGAATCTTTAGCTGCCCAGATAGGGCAGCTTACTGGCCCTTGATGCTGCCAGGGGGGCCGAAAGGGGTAGGAGAGGGGAAGAAAGGGGTGGGAACGGGACAGAATCTGGCCATGAAGTTTGGATCCTGAGTTGGGGTAGTCTTTTCTTCTGAGAGAATCATAGACATAAGAGAGGGTTCGGCTTGTTAGTCCACACTCCTGGCCAATGGCTATACTGTTTCTTAAAAGGGGCATTTCTTTTCAGTCACTTTCAGTGCTCTTCCAGAGTGTATGTGTAACCCAGACACCTCCTGGTTGTGGTGTTCTGTTCCCTCTAGTGGCACGGAGACCACTTAGAGATGAATAAGTAAATTGGTTAGTCTCTAAGGTGCCACAAGTCCTCCTTTTCTTTTTGCGAAGACAGACTAACGCGGCTGTTACTCTGAAACCTGTCTTCTAGAGCCGTAGCTAAGAGCCACGTGGCTTTTAGCTCATGCAGTAAAGGCTCATGCATTTAGCTCCAGAGGTCCCAGATTCGATCCCACCCACCAACGACCAGGGTCTGTCGGTGTTACATATGGTCAAATGCTGAGCTCACAAGTCC